CACACACACACACACACACACACACACACACACACGCACAACCACACGCACACACATTCTCATGTCTATTCATGGGGGGCGCCGCCTGATGGAAATTGGGTCCAGCGTCCCATGAACATCGTGAATAAAGCACCAACTGGGACCCCACACATACACTCTCTTTAAGTTGTGTGTAGCGAACGGGACAAAACATACATACAGCATAATCATTACTTTACCCTTCCTGAACCACATCAGCAAACGAACTACGGGTTGTGCACCCGTGCCCTCACGGTAAGTCAACATACATATATATTTCAAAGCATAAGGGAATGGAGGGCAGAAGGCAACTTACATACGACAAAAGACTACTCCAACAAGAAGGCACCGACCCGAGCCCCTCAAAGGTCCGAAAAAACTTGGAGAGCCGTCGGCACCGGGCCACAAAACCAAAAACTCATTTATCAAAAATAAACAAATATAACAACATTGGCATTCCCGACATTTATCTCAAACTACACACTCGCATCACTGCCAAAGAGGAGGAAGAAGATAAGAGACAACTTACCTAAGACAAAAGGCTCCTCCACCAATAACGCATCGAACCCCTCTCCTAAGGGTCCGAAAAAATTGGGAAAGTCTTTCACGTCGGCCCACAAAACATACATTCCCCCCAAAGAGAACTCGTGGCCACCCAGAAACATTCAAACAACCCGTGCTCTAAAGCATATCCAACCACAAAAAGAGAGAATAACTCGCTAGTACAAGCCCGATCCTAGCCGCTAAAATCTGCCACGATAGAGAGCTAGCAAAACCGGAATGTGTATTGTTTTAAAAGACCTCAGATTCTCTCTCCCATTCCCTTCACAAATTATCACAAGTCATCCATAAAAAAAATGTATAGATAGGTGATATAATAGAAAATGCAAGGTTGGCCACGTTTGTGTGGTTCAACTTCAAGTGCACATACACCCATATGCCGCCAAGGCGGCACACTTGCACAGATACATATGTATACATATATATTTCAAACCATGAGGGGATGGAGGGCAGAAGGCAACTTACCTAAGACAGAAGACTACTCCGGCAAGAAGGTACTGACTCGACCCCCTAAAAGGTCCGAAAAAACTTAGAGAGTTTTTCGCATCGGCCCACAAAACCAAAAACTAATTGATAAAAAACAAACAAATACATTAACATTGGCATTTCCGACATTCATCTCAAACTTTTGTGTGTGTGGGGGGGGGTGCGTTGTCATATTCACTATACACTCAAGAAAAGCATGATTGTGCCAAACAATTTTATCGGACTTTCACGGACTCATCAGGAGGTTGAACACCCACAACTACCAAGGATGTATTTTACTGATAGATAAGGACTCACCACATCGCCCAAAGTAAGCGAGACCCCTGAGAAAAGTGGTCGACTTTACTCACACCAACCCTGCAATTCTAGCAGAATGTCAATCCAAAGCCCGAACAAGAACGGTAGTAAGTTTGAAAATCTACCAGTAAATCCGAAAAAACAGATTGAGTCTCTCCTAAAATAATAGGAGGTAATGAATCGCCAATTCATTTTATCAACAGTCCATGACCTCCAAATTTTTAGAAGAGACTCAATCTGTTTTTTCGAATGTATTGGATGTGTGTGTGTGTGTGTGTGTGCACGCGCATGTGTGTATGTATGTGTGTGTGTGTGTGTGTGTGTGTGTGTGTGTGTGTGTGTGTGTGTGTGTCTTTTGTCATATTCGTTATACACTGAAAAAAAGCATGACTGTGCCGGACTGTTTCATCGGACTTTCACGGATTCATCACAAGGTTGAACCCTGACAGTCTGTCCAGGATGCATTTGATTGATGGATAATGACTCACGACATCGCCCAGAGTGATACCCCTGAAAAAAATGATCGACTTTACTCACATTGACCTCGCAATCTTTTTTTTTTTTTTTTTTTTAAGTCCATGAGTGTTGTAGAGGTTCGTTTTTATAGACCCACGACTAGTACCTATCTACAGTCAACAACTAATTTATAAGACGCAGACCATCCTATCTTGGAGGATCCCCCTCAGACAACCCCTACTTCATGTTCCCCAATTATTTCCTCCAACATAGCTAGCACCCCTCCTACCAGGATACCTTAAGACAATCCCCTATTGTAGGTTCCCCACTGATATCCTCCAGCAAAGCTTGTCCCAAGCCAATCCTCCCCCCAAACGAGACCTCATCACACCTAAGGTACTTGCCCACCCAAAGCACAGTCTAAGGTAACCAACACACATGAGCAGTCTAACCACAAACGCGTACCTCCATCCTCATTAGACCACTAAATGTATCAGACGATAAAGTTAAATTCCAAAACGAGATCAACAATATATTATTATTATTATAAAAAAACAACAACAATCTTGAGATATATCCGCATGTGACCATTCCTAGGTAATTCAAGATTATTGGATTCAAGTTATTGTAGATAATATGTCATGATCATGACTTACTGAGCTTCCTTATT